GGTGCTCACGACCTTTCCCTCGCCTCCATAACCCCCCCTTCCCAACCTTTCGCTTTTCCCCCCAACCCAACCCCCCTCGCGGCGTTCGGAGGTAGTCGCAAACTCGTTCACTGGGTTTACTCGCATTCATTAAACGCGCGTTTAACGCGTTCAAATCTTGAACGTGAAACCCGTGTTCAATGAATGCACGATTACATAGGTAGGGGACCGGGGGAAGTACTGCTGGTGCACCCGGCTAGAGCGGCAAAGGGATGGCACACGTCTCTGCGGTTCGTGGGGTTATTTTGTGTTATCCCCAAGTTGTCTCTTGCTTTGTTTTTAGTCATGCGTGACATGGATGGGAGGGTTCTCGCCTTTTGTGAAAAAGGCGAGAGCCGACGCTCTCGACACCATGGACGACGGTGGCACCTTATTGGCCCAACACCCTGTGTAGTGATTGTCGCCACAACGAGCGTTATCAAGAAAAGGGGTTCCACTATCTTGGTGATGACGAACACAAGGAAACAGCGATCAGGCTGACGCGAACGACGCCGAGACTTAATTCAAAAACGAGATCCCACATGCGTACCCCCACCTTTTTGTTCAAAAAGACGTCGAGTAGCCCACATGGAAGTTCAAAGATACTTTTTAGATTAACCGAACGTTTGAAAGTTGCGCGCTCCGTTTCGTTCCCGCTCGACGATGACCATTTCCCACTCAAACTGGAAGGACACACAAGATTTCAGTTTTGTCTGTGCCCTCACACAATTTTCCAAAAATGTTCTTTCAGGGCCTGTTCCGCATTATGAATTACTCCGACCAGAAGACAATGTCAGGCAGTGAGGTTGATCGTGGAACGTTACATATGCGTTATATTTGAATAGAACATACCCTATGCATTGTATTTGTTTACAACACATATGCGTTGTGCGTCCTAACAACTGGCAATAGACGGAATGAAACGTCGTTGTACCTGTTAAATAGCCTCCGGAGCCCCCGTTGAATCCTGTTTAATGGGAAAACGGTGGTCTCCCGTTGAATCTGGAAAAAGTGATTGGGCGGGTTGGGCCTCGGACACGTGGCTCTATGCGCCCAAACACTGAAACAAGAAAACAAATAAAAATTTGACCTCCCCCTACAAGTCCCCAAACCTACCCAGAACCCCTTTAAACCACTACGAGCCCCAAATCCCCCTTCCCCCTCCGGCCCCATCCTGCCATCCTCAAACCTACCTGGAGGTATATGTGTGTTTGTAAGTGTGTATGTATGTGCGCGTGATTGTTGGTGTGTGTGTGTGTGTGTGTGTGTGTGTGTGTGTGTGTGTTTATGCGTGTTTGTGTGATGTGTGTTTGTGTCTGTGTGTGTGTATGCGTATGTCTTTTTTTCCTTTTTTTAAATTGTTTTTATGTTTTTTTTTTTTTTTTAAATACATGAAAGTTCAAAAACAAAAAAAAGTTGCTGTACATCTTTGAAAGATCTATCTACAACCCTATATATATATATTTTTTTTTCTGCTTTTTTTTTTAGCCCTAAGAAAATCTCAGTGATACCACAAGCAAAACTCACTCATTTCATTTTTTTATTGTTTTTTTTTTTTCACAGTGTTTATATTATTTATTTATTTAAAATATATTTGAAGCTAAAAAAAACAAAATAAAAGTATGGGATTGTAGACTGCAAAAATATCTACATTCTAATTTATTTTTTTTTTTTTGAATTATTATTTTTAGCTCATGAAAAAATGGTCGCGGAACCCTTTGTGACCCGTCTAACGGGCTTTTCAACGGGGATCGTTGAATTTTTCAACGCGGAATCCTCTTTGAATCAATTTTCGGACATACAGCATATGCGTTATATTCGGAGGACTATAATGACAATAAAAAAGGCCTGAAAGGTCGTCCTGTCCAGATTTGACAGGTAATTGAATTGGTTGGGCTTAAAAAAAGGGGAAAAAAAAAAGATGGTAGCAGAGGTGGCCCCAGGTGGGTGGGTAATTTAAAGAGCCTGTTTGAAAGTGGGAGGACCGGTTGTTCCGGTAATGGAATAAGTCCGAATAACCTAGATGGTGATAAGATGAGGCTCTAAGTGGAATGACGACAATCAAAGGATGTATCTTAAAGACTTAAAGTTGAGCAAGACAGAGGCTACCTTCTTCCCCCGAATACAACGTACGGTTATTATAGCTGCATCTAGACTGAAAGATGCCTCAAATACAGCTATAATGACCATACGTTGTATTCGGGGGAAGAAGGTAGTCATTGGGTTTTTGCTTTCTTTCTTTCTTGTTTTTAATAATTTATTAATTTCCTTTAGGGCACGTTGCATAAAAAGTTGCCGCCTATTATAGCTTTACCCAGCCGTTGGCTGTGCAGGTAGTACGTACTGGATAACACTTGATAATTTTCCACAGTGGATTTTTGATGAATATCTGTATTTGGGGTAGCTTGTTGGGATAGAATAATTTGCTAGCTCTTTTCCTATGGAATAGTACCCATGCGCGATTCATATAGTAGCGTAGTAGATAAACGAGCGGAGTGGGAGCCAGTTCTCCTCTTGGCCTCAGCAGCAGGGCAGAAGGGTCGAGGGTAGGTGAATCTTTGTGAATCTTTCATTGGCAGCAGTTGGGAATTCTTTGCTGTGATATGTAATGTTTATGGATTCCTGAATTTTTGTATCAATTTTGTAACAAAAAGGCATGCGGCTTGTATTTCAATAGTTCATGGATGTACCAACTGCCCTAGGCCAGTTCACTGTTGCCACAAGGGCCTTAGGAAACATAAGGGTAGCTGAATTTTTGTGAGTCTTTCATTAGCGGCAGTTGGGAATTCTTTGCTGTGATATCACTGATATGTAACAGTTATGGATTGCTGAATTTTTTTATCAATTTTATATCAGAAAGGCAAGGGGCTTTTTTTTTTTTTTTTTTTTTTTTGGAGAGAGGCCGGGGACCTCACAATTCAGCCCCGTGCAACAATAAGGACACGAGTTCGAAGCCTGACCAACCTGGCGAATAAGCAAACCAGAAGGCACAAAACCTAAGCTAATTAATGTTTACTGGAAATGGACGACCACTCTAACAAACTTTAGCAGGCCCCTAGTGGTTCTACCGCAAAACATGCGGCCTTATAGGGCTCTTCAAAGCAAGTATGGATCTACCGAGTGACCAGGTAGGGCCGCTTTGAGCCTCCTTTGACAGTTAACCTTTACATTTCCACCTGACTACTTATACTATATACGCTTAACAGAACTCACAAGAGACAAGATAACAAGTGTGACTTCCTTATTCCGAACGAAGCCATCTGGACAGGACCAACTTTCCGTCCAGCGAGACAACTGCAAGGCTATTCTTTTTAGCCCAAGACCTCAAAAACCACAGTTTGGCCCTGTATCTTGCTGGTTCAGTCTTAGCGAGTACTTTTCTCTTCAAGTCCACCGTGATCATCTGGCGACCTATGGATTTCATCCCCCATTTCAGGGCAACATCTAAGGTGTATCTACGTTCAAAGTATCGAGTTTCGCTCCTTCCAGATCCACCAGCTTGCTGCTGCTAGTCTGTGTGTCCTCTTAGAATGTTTTGTGGTGGGGACTGGAGCCAATCCCCGAGACTGACTTTTTTTTTTTATATATATATATATATATATATATATAGTGTCACCAGCCCTTACGTACGGAGGTCCCTGGGCAGACCTCTGTACGTACGGGCGTTCGGGTTCCCGTACGGGGTCCGAACCCGACGGCGTTCGGCCCACGCCAAAAATGATTTTGAGGCCTTAAACTATTCTTTTCTTTCTGAGTTTTTGTTTGTGAGTTTTCTATGACGTGAGGTACACGCCTGTAAATTTTCAAGTCATTTGGCTCAGCCAACTACGAATTAAAAATCGCGAAAGATGGCGGTGTCAAAACGTGCTTGCCCACGTTTTTTTTCACTTCTTACTTTTTGTTTTCACTTTAGTTTGGGGTCTAAACAATTTTATTATTTTTTAAGACTTTTTTAGTGTGTTTTGCATTATGTGAAGTACACATATCTAAATTTTCAGGGAATTTAGCTATTCCAAAAAAAAATAAAAAATCGCCAAAGATGGCGGTGTCGAAAACGTGCTCGCGAACTCACTAAATTTAATTATTATTATTATTATTTTTTTTTTATTATTATTAGTATTTGTTTTTCGTAATTTATTTTTATGTCAAATTTGGCAAGGAATTTGGATGTAATGCTCAGGCAAATCTTGTTTATTTTATTGTTTTTCATAACATATGTTTTTTTCAGATTTTTTTGATTTTTTTGATATTTTTTTATTTTTTTTTTTGGGTCTGCGTTCGGTCCGAACGACCGAACGCATCCCCAAAGGGGTCCTGTACGTTCGGGCGTTCGGCCCGTCCCGAACGCCGGTTACCTTGTATATATATATATATATATAATTATTATTTATTTATTTTATTTATTTATTTATTTATTTATTTATTTTTCCTGGAAGTTCACGTATAGAGAAAAGACAGTCCGGCCAGACTGCCCAAGCATGAGAACGGAGAGGCAAGATACACCCATAACACACATTCCGTTACGCACGCCAATTAGAAGCAATCAAGAACAAAAGCAATTCTAGAGAAAAAACGAAAGATACACCCATCCATTGCCGTCCTCAAGAGAAGCACGAATCCGATTACCAAACAAAATCCCAGTCACGCGGCCAATTCCTCGACGCGTTTCGTCCGTCCCGCAAACAGACTCTTCAGGAGGTGATTACTACTACCATCCGCATCCATCAAACAGACACAGAGGCCATACCCAGGCCTTGCCTCCTTTTTATACTATCATCCTACCCCTACTCTCTCACGATCATCATTATGATAGTTTCTATCACAAAATTTACCAAGTATACCAAGGGCAAACCCGTTCCTCCCAGCCTGGGATTGAAACATCCACGGTCGAGCCATCATTTCTCCCTGTAGTATGAGTCGTACGTTCACTGACACGTGGCTTAGAGGTCCTTGCAACCATAAACTGTACGGCAGGAATCAGCACTTAAAAGTAGCGTTCCTGTAGACCTGCACACACCACAAGCCAACAAACACACAACACACAACACAACCCACAGAGAGACAGCCAAAATATGCCCGATGACACCGGCAGCAGAAGCAATCGCAGTGAAGTCCAACCGAGGAGCGCCTGCACCATCACTAAAGGCAACGAAGCTGGCAGTCACCCTGCGCTGCGCCAGCGCCAGCGCATCTCACAACCGCCGAGGCACGTACCGAAGTATGAGACAAGCAGAGTCGAGCGCACGTCGTTCATACTCGTATTGCCAATCAACAAGGTCCCTGATGGGACTGCCACCCCGCGTACGCAGACCGGGTACCGTATCCCAAGAGGTCAGAGCGACCGTTGCTGCTAAGGGTCCCACTGAGTCGGTCAGGTTGCCGCGAAAGAAAGAAAGAAGGAAAGAGCGCCAAAATGCTGTCGAAACGAGCAAAAAAGACGACTAAGGAAATCCGAATCTGAACTAAAAAATGTACCAGATACCTTCATCCTAAAGATACAAAAAGGCAGGTCGGTGAAAAAAAACAGGATTAAACTCGGAGAAAGGTCTACCGTATGGGTAACCCAAGAAAACTACAAGGCCCTAGAGGCCTGCTTGGCAAAATGCCAAGCCCCTCCCGCAACACAACTACTCATGACTACAGAAAACATCCCTCCGGACTTAGAGCCAAAACGCGAAAAAACTTCATCGAACTTGGGCGGGTAATTCCTGATCACCAACTCCCGTTTCACTGCCAAGGTACATTCATGAAAACCCCACACATCCGAGCAAAGGTGGTGAACCCGATGCAAGGTGCTGGTAATAGCACCGGCCTAAGCTCTCTTGCTGGAATAGGAGCTGAAGTCCTGAAACCCACCAAACACCAAACTACCCGAATCCCAGATTGTCGTTGCATTCTTGACAGTAGCTACTCTCCGTAACTCAGCGCCATACCTGGAAACTACCATCCCAGCAAAAACCCAACTGCTCTGGTCATTATCCGTACGAACAAGCCGCAGGTTCGAACCATAGCATTGCGAAAACTAGTCCAAAATACGCATTGCCCTTTCATGGCCATGATGTCCAACCTCAACAATAAAAATAGTAACATCATCAACCACTCGAAACCCATGCACGAAATAGCGATCCGCTCCGAGGTTTTTGAGAAATGAAAACTCAGCGTAAGTGCACAAAATACAAGCTAGCGGGCAGCTGGATGACTTCCCCATAGGCACACCAACCACTTGTCTGAGCAACTGGCCTGCAGCCCGGATGAAGATAAAGCAAAGATCAAAACCCACCATCATCCTCACATCATGGAGAGAAACAAGCAGACATTCATTCCTAGCGCCACCGTATGACAATCAGGCTTTCTTTCCTCTCTTAGCCACTTGCACCCCCTTCCATCCTTTATTATCATAGTAGGCCGTAATCTCGTCGATAGCCCGGATGACCTCCGCGTGCGGGAGCGAAACAAACATATCCTTGACATCGAACGATGCTGTCACCAAATCATGATAGTACCTCTGGCGAAAGTCTCGGTCCATAGCCAGTATCCCAGGCAGAAAATGCATAACTGCTTTGAGGTTGAATCCCGTATTAGCCGGCAAGGCAAACAGAAGAGCATTCAAAGCAGTAGCTACCCTGGAACTAGCTAACTTAGTGGGTTCTGCGCAAGTGGGTGAGATGGGACGCCATCTGGACAAGTCCTTGTGCTTAGGCAGCACATAGGCTTCTCCAAATCGTCCACCAGCATCCCACTTGCCGAGCATGAGCAAATTCAAGTCCAAGAAAACCTCCCGCATTTGGAAAAGCACTTCATCTTCCCCACAGCTCACAGCTCGAAACGACGAGTTCCACGTGAAAGACATGTGCAAATAGTGCCTATACAGAACCAGACATACAACCAGCGTATCCGCTGTGTTCCTATCGATCGGGATACAGAGGAAAGGCTTGAGACGAAGGAACCACTGATTCAGAAAAGTCAAGTAATAATCATCCTCAACCACCAATCGTAAATTCCAACATCCTTCCAACTCACGCTTCTCCACCACATACGAAGATCTTAGGTTGCTTGCTATCCTAACAATCTGTTTACCCAGTTCCAAAAACCCATGTTTAGGAAGCACCCTCGATACATTACGAGAGTTCCGGAGAAGGTCGTGTATCCCTGGTATACCTCCTATCCGGGTCATAACATGCAACCCAGAATGCTCCCACCCAGGTTCGAGGTGGCAACTACAGACCCAATCATCACTCATTTTACCCAACTTCTGCACCGTGCGAAAATATCCACTAACTGGTACATTTTTACGCCATACAAAGCGAATCTTCCTTTTAAGTAGTCCTGCAACTGCCTGCGGTAATGTCGATCTCGAGAGCATCCTCAATACCACAGCATGAACTTTCGTGGAATCTACCCGATGATCATAGCGCAATTTTACAACCAGTCCGTGACGGACATCGATACCTGTTCTACACTTAATGGCACGAGCCAAAATGCCTTTAGGGACCGCCCTAGTCTGTTTGCCGAAGAACTCACGGGAACCCTTGAACCAGCGAACAAACAACGAAACAGGCTCAAACCTTAACAGGCGTCGTCTCCATGGTTGGAGGAGGTGCAACTTGAGTTGCCCCTTATGGATAGCCCGTCTATTAGTAGTGAAAAGAATTGGACCCAACTCCCAAACCCCTCCTTTTTGAAGCATCGACTTAGCATCCTTCAGAGGTACTCTCAAGGAACCCAACTTAACCAGAGTGACACCGAAACATCTTCTCAACAAAGGCCAACCATCAGGCCACAAATTGCCAGCAGAAAATTCAATGAAAAGCTTCATTTTGTTAAGTAGCACCGCCTGTCTTAACAATGACAAGACACTATCCGACCATTGGCCACCAATCACCCTGACTTTAACCAATCCAACGTCAGTATCACTAATCCGCTTCCCTCGTCTCTTAATCCTTCCTGGCCTAGAATTGCGAGCATGTTGCCGCATAGATCGCCTATAATTCAAAATCGGAGAGAAATTCTTGACAATTACTAACTCAGCAGACTGCACAGAAGTTACACCATTCACCAGCGGTACACTCAGATATTGCCCGATACCAATCATCTGCAGCCATCTATACAATCTAGGACAGACCCCAAGTCCCTTAACCTTAACCGTTCGAATATGTTCTGCCCACCTTATATAGATACCGCGTGGAGATGACCCCATGTACTGTGCCCTAGTCCAGGGGGACGTCAAAACATACACGACGGGACCAATGTCCCAGGAATCCCAGCTGACATTGAGAAGCAGAGATACGAACTTACCCATCCATAGTACCTCACCTAAAATTGCCAGAGCTACGAAACAGAGGGTCGCGCACTTATCATATAGCAGCCAAAGGTGAGAGGATTTACGATCATGCCAAAGCTGATTGCGTAAGTGCATACAATCGACCAGATTCTGCCAAAGCCGGACACGCACGAAATGACTCATTCAATTGCCAGGAGTCTCCTCCTCATCCGGCGTAACTCGATCAGAAGACGATGGAACGAAGACAAAACCTTCATAGGCAAGCTTAACCCTTGCCTCAATTATATTTTCAATGGTCGGTGCTTTAGTAGTGTACTCGACGCCCTCCGCTGCGCAAATAGCCTTGAGTTGTTCCTTGTTCTTGCCAGTAAGCAGCCTGCGCTGATGAAGTACATACACCAGGATTCCCTCTGGACCACTTCCGGCCGGAATCTTCGTCCGTTGCCGTTCCTCCGCCCTCCTCGAAGATTCAGCCCGAGGAGTATCAACCACTGAACCGTCATCCCTCTGGAGGACGGGTTGTCGAAACGGCCTACGACCCACACTCGCCGGTTCCTTGCCCTTCCTCTTCTTCATCTCTCTAATCTCATACAGTTTAGCTATCTTATCTTCAATATCTTCAATGCCCCGATTTTCATAGTCATATACCTCCCTTTCTCTCTCCCGAATGACAACGCCTGGAGTACGACACACTGGAGTCCCCCCGTCTTGCCTCCTCCCGAGAAACGAGATACTGTCAACCGATCTTAGACAAAACCCTCGCCTAAAGCGCCTCTGAATTCCTTTAAATCTCCTGTTTGATTAGCTCGTCCATCTTGCGCTTCTCGTCAATCTCTCGCTTACGCGCTTGCTCCTCTCTCTTCTCTTGAATGAGCTGTCTCAGGAATTCGCGCTCCTCGTTATCATCCTGATTACGCCTAGGAGTCCAGTAACGATTACTAGCAGGAGTAGATGCATTTGAGGTTCCACCACCAGACTGTTGCTGGCGCTGGGAGGGACATTCCCTCGCGAAATGTCCCTCACCTCCGCAATTGAAGCACTTATTACCAGATGATGCCATCGTTGATCGTCCAAACCAACCAACCAGGATTCCCATGAGCACGAGTATCCAACTCCCAGACGTAAAGATCCAATGATAAGGGGTTGCACTAACAGCGCCGCGTATTTCAATAGCCCTACACCATACTAAGTACCGAGTAAGAAGAGCCGCCCCAGAAATACCAACAATACTCATCCGTAGGCAATACACACAAGCCAAAACCATGAACCCTTATCCTAACTAGGTCTTAATCTATTCGTACAAAAATTTGGATGCGATCCTGCTCGTCCACATACACTATAACCCGAACGAGAGTATCCACCTGAGGGAACCACAAAGCGCATTTAACTAGCATCCTATCCATAGCATCAGAACAGCCGTGACCACCACGCAATGTATGACCGCACTACAGGTTGTCACGTATATCAGTATAGAGAAAAGACAGTCCGGCCAGACTGCCCAAGTATGAGAACGGAGAGGCAAGATACACCCATAACACACATTCCGTTACGCACGCCAATTAGAAGCAATCAAGAACAAAAGCAATTCCAGAGAAAAAACGAAAGATACACCCATCCATAGCCGTCCTCAAGAGAAGCACGAATCCGATTGCCAAACCAAATCCCAGTCACGCGGCCAATTCCTCGACGCGTTTCATCCGTCCCGCAAACAGACTCTTCAGGAGGAGATTACTACTACCATCCTCATCCATCAAACAGACACGGAGGCCATACCCAGGCCTTGCCTCGTTTTTATACTATCATCCTACCCCTACTCTCTCCCGATCATCATTATGATAGTAGATAGAAGGCATGTCGGCCAGTCTATCACAAAATCCACCAAGTATACAAAGGGCAAACCCGTTCCTCCCAGCCTGGGATTGAAACATCCACGGTCGAGCCATCATTTCTCCCTGTAGTATGAGTCGTACGTTCACTGACACGTGGCTTAGAGGTCCTTGCAACCATAAACTGTACGGCAGGAATCAGCACTTAAATGTAGCGTTCCGGTAGACCTGCACACACCACAAGCCAACAAACACACAACACACAACACAACCCACAGAGAGACAGCCAAAATATGCCCCATGACACCGGCAGCAGAAGCAATCGCAGTGAAGTCCAATGGAGGAGCGCCTGCACCATCACTAAAGGCAACGAAGCTGGCAGTCACCCTGCGCTGCGCCGGCGCCAGCGCATCTCACAACCGTCGAGGCACGTACCGAAGTATGAGACAAGCAGAGTCGAGCACACGTCGTTTATACTCGTATTGCCAATCGACAAGGTCCCTGATGGGACTGCCACCCCGCGTATGCAGACCGGGTACCGTATCCCAAGAGGTCAGAGCGACTGTTGCTGCTAAGGGTCCCACTGAGTCGGTCAGGTTGCCGCGAAAGAAAGAAAGAAGGAAAGAGCGCCAAAATGCTGTCGAAACGAGATTTCAGCAGCTTCCCTACTCCGAGCAAAAAAGACGACTAAGGAAATCCGAATCTGAACTAAAAAATGTACCAGATACCTTCATCCTAAAGATACAAAAAAAGCCAGGATTAAACTCGGAGAAAGGTCTACCGTATGGGTAACCCAAGAAAACTACAAGGCCCAAGAAGTTCACGTATTTCATCCCAAGAAAACTACAAGGCCCAAGAAGTTCACGTATTTCATTTCAAATCCAAGACAGGGGCCCGGGAATACACCCCACACGACAACGCGGTACATCACATGCTCGGGCCAATACCCAGCTGTAGGCTTCACTTCTCTCAATCTTCTTTTGTATATATTATTATATTTCCCTCATCTACCTCATGCTCTCCCTACTCTATGTATAGTAGGGGGGACCACAACCCAACCGACCCCTACTCTATGTATATTAGGGGTGACCACCACCCAACCAAACCTGGAACTCCTCCAGCGGGCCCACGGCCCCACGGGCCCACGGGGTAGGTTGGCACCACAGCAGTGGGTGGTGCGCGGGCAAGTCTTGTATCAGCCCCTTATCACGATGACGTGGGGCGATCAGCCATTGCCGACAACTGTGAATACGGGCCATGCTTTCGTTACTCTCGACATGTGCAAATTTAGATCAGGTGAATCTTCCCCTAGAACATGGAAAGGTACACCGCCATGATTTTTGTCTTTTGTGCACGTCGCTGAGAGTACTGGAGCGAGGCCATAATTCACCGAAAGGCTATTCGACGATCGGCGTATGGCAGTAATGTAGAGGCTCGCCGCACCAAGCACAGAAGGTGCAAAACGGAGCATGTTTTTTTCCGTGCAAACTGAGAAAAACGAATCTTCCTTGAGAAATATGGGAAGACACACCTCCATAGTTTTGTCTTTTGTGCATCTGTAGGGTAGTGGAGCAAGGCGCCATCTTGTTGACGTGGAAAGATACACCATTGACCGTACGCGGAGCATCCATAAAATCCGTACGCTACTGGCCAACACGAAACTATCGTACGGTCCTTCGGGACATCCATAACATAGGAACGATACAGAGAAGACACACCACGCGGCACTACCGAAGGATAGGAGAGCCACGTGGCACTACCAAATGATAGAAGCACCACGTGGCATGGCCAAAGGATAGCAGCGCCACGTGGCACTGCTAAGACATAGCCTTATCTTGTTATAAAAATAGGGCGAGGACCTCCAGGTATCCTCATAGAACTGACCGACACAAGGCACTTAAAAGAGGTCTTTTATCCGTCTGGATTTAGCCACGTGATCTGAGTAGCATTCAGCCACGTGGGCCGAGTAGCAGCACTTTTCGGCCGGGCCGCGCCGCGCCGCGCCCCGCCCCGCCCCGCACGCACAATTGAACGGCGATTTTCCCGTCGTCGTCGGATTTGTATCGATCGATGAATCAGAACGCAGGATTCATGTTCTCAAGTGATCAGTAATCTTGTCGACAAACACAATCAACAAACCGGACTTACTCTATTTAATTTTTTATCATGTCATAGTTTTGATTACGTGCTTTTTTTCTGTACGTCTATGTTCCGCTTCGCATCTCCTTTGACCTTCCTGTACCTTTTGCTCCCTCCCTAACGTCCATTCCCCATAACGTTTCACCTAACCCGACGTATGAATACGACTTCTCCCCCCAAGCAGCACCAACTCTCTCTCTCTCTCTCTCTCTCTCTCTCTCTCTCTCTCTCTCTCTCTCTCTCTCTCTCTC